GGCTGGTTTGTTAACTCCATACTCCGATTGACGCATAGCTGGTATTCACATCGCCATCTTGGTATGAGGAGTGGAGAGCCAGGCTGCATGTCTGTACCGTATTAATGTAGGCCTGGAGGAATGCACGCAGTCCAGCCCAGTTTTAGCTTATACTGTCTGGCAGGAAGAGATCACCCCAGGAGAGGCATTTTTCCTTTTAGGGCCATCAGAGGGGGTGGGTTGTTGAATGCATTGATTTGGCACATTCTGAGCGAAGGATTTATAAAGAAAAAAACTTTCAATCCATTTTCTTTCCCCAGAGCTCAGTGCTGACCGTGTCTGGGAAATATTATTTGTAGCGTGAGGGAAAATAACATTTAGAAGTTTTAGAAACAGTGTGCGCGCTCCCAGTTCTCTCCGCCTATTTCATTTCACTTAACTAGTGTCCTACTCGCTAGCAAACTGGCAGCGATATGACAGGTGGGTTAACAGGGAACATGGCGTTTCCTGCTATAATCGTCTCCGATTACTCTGTATTACAGACCAAAGGACCCGCGTTTATTGGCATTAAAAGGCTCCCCCGAGAAACGTCCAGTCTGGAGAGGATCGTGTTCTGCGTCTGTTCTCACTTTCTTTATTTTACTTTCATCCATTCTGCCGTTTGTTTTTTGTTTTTTTTAAATACGTCCAAAGCAATCATTCGCCTCTCTCTGCATGATATGATTAATGCTACGGAGATAAAGGACGCGTCTTCTCCAGAGGATTTATCACATTGTGTTTGTGAATTAAAAAAAACATCCAGTTCAATGTGTGAAACGGAGTGTGTTTTATATTAAGGAGCGGAGTGTGTGAGCCCAGTACAGTACGTGGTGCATGATGGATGGAGTGAAATCCACTTCTAATTACATACAATTTAACCCAAAGCAGAGACGAGCAAGCGCCTTCTTTTTAACACTTCATAGTAAATAATGCTTTACATACGAGCTGGATTTGGTATAGAATTGGCTTGCCAAACTGCCAGGAAACAGACACCTTGCATGTTATTATATAGGACACATACATGTAAACAAAGACAATAAGCCCTCACTACTAACTAACAGTACCACATCCCAGACAACTAACAGTATCGTATTCCCTGACTACTAACTAACAGCACTTCATCCCAGACTACTAACTAACAGCACCACATCCCAGACTACTAACTAACAGCACCACATCCCAGACTACTAACTAACAGCATGGCATCCCAGACAACTAACTAACAGCACCACATCCCAGACTACTAACTAACAGCACCACATCCCATACTACTAACTAACAGCACAGCATCCCAGACTACTAACTAACAGCACCGCATCCCAGACTACTAACTAACAGCACGGCATCCCAGACTACTAACTAACAGCACCGCATCCCCGACTAGAAACATAGAAACATAGAAACATAGAATGTGACGGCAGATAAGAACCATTCGGTCCATCTAGTCTGCCCAATTTTCTAAAAACTTTCATTAGTCCCTAGCCTTATCTTATAGTTAGGATAGCCTTATGCCTATCCCACGCATGCTTAAACTCCTTTACTGTGTTAACCTCTACCACTTCAGCTGGAAGGCTATTCCATGCATCCACTACCCTCTCAGTAAAGTAATACTTCCTGATATTATTTTTAAACCTTTGTCCCTCTAATTTAAGACTATGTCCTCTTGTTGTGGTAGTTTTTCTTCTTTTAAATATAGTCTATAGACTACTAACAGCACCGCATCCCAGACTACTAACAACTCCGCATCCCAGACTAACAACTCCGCATCCCTGACTACTGACTAACAGCAGTTGATCGAGTCGTGTCTCTTATAGTAGAGATCCCAATCCGCTGATCGAGGTGTCTCTTACAGTAAAGATCCCAATCCACTGATCGAGGCGTGTCTTATAGTAGAGATCCCAATCCGCTGATCGAGGCGTGTCTCTTACAGTAGAGATCCCAATCCGCTGATCGAGGTGTCTCTTACAGTAAAGATCCCATTCCACTTATCGAGGCGTGTCTTATAGTAGAGATCCCAATCCGCTGATCGAGGCGTGTCTCTTACAGTAGAGATCCCAATCTGCAGATCAAGGCGTCTCTTACAGTAAAGATCCCAATCCACTGATCGAGGCGTCTCTTACATTAGAGATCCCAATCCGCTGATCGAGACATGTCTCTTACAGTAGAGATCCCAATCAAGGCGTCTCTTACAGTAGATATCCCAAGCCGCTGATCGAGGCGTCTCTTACATTAGAGATCCCAATCCGCTGATCGAGGCAAATTCATATTTGCTTAAGTCTCTCTTTACTAGAACTCCACAGCAGCACAGAGAAAACAACCAATCAGAATAAAGTTAGATACCATAAAACTCCCCTCCCCACACATAACATCCTCTTTCTTTGCTGCTCCTCAACAGCACAGGCCAGAGTACCACTCCTTTACTAAAATTTTATGCTAAATTCTTTGCCTGTCACTGTGTATACCTTGTATTTTTCCTTAGCCTATATATTTATCTGTTCCTTTCTTCTTTTCCTTATTATTCTTCCAGGGTGCTGCTTAAGGGGGGTGGGGGGGAGGCGCGGATGCATACAGATAACTGTTACTTCTCAATATTCTATGTATACAAAACAGTGATATCTGTACCATGACTTTATGCAAAAAAAAAAAAAAGAAATCTTCGAGAAAGGTTACCATCACCACAAAAACCTGCTCGGCAAGGCATATTTCTCAAGGACTTTCCAAGTGTTCCCATTGCTTTGTTAATAGGGGACTTGTATATATAATGATATGTATACCGCAAAAAGATTATCTATATAGATTGTCGGACTAACTCATTTTATATGAAGTAAAAAAAATAAAAAAATAAATAAATAATATTTCAGCTCTCTGTACATAGCCTCAGTTTTACGCAGAGCAGAGGATTCTGGGAAGTTTAGCTCAGCTTTCTGCTTATTGGATAGATTACCTAAACTAAAACTGGGAAAGTTTACATGGCTGTCCCTGGCAGAATTGGTGGACCTGCGCATTATAGTGGATGGGGCTACTAACTGCTGTAATTGTGGCGTGGGCCCTGTGTGCCAGGGAAGCATCCATAATATCCAACATTTGTTTCACAAACTCTCCGCTTCCACATGCTTTTTCTTGGGTGACATTTCAAATTTCAAGTGCTACATTCTTTGTAAATGTTACACTGTTTAAAATGGACATTTCTGGGACAGAGCAGAGCTGTCCCTGTCAATCATCAGACAGAAAGTTCCAAAAATATCTGAGTCACTAGCCATTCTGAAAAGCATTGATGAAAAGCCGCAGACGGAGTACAATTCTGACAAGCTGTGCTTATCTCTTTAGTGAATTTGTAACAGGGCCCTCGATGACTATTTACTAACCCCTCTAGTATGGCTGACCCTGGGCATGGGATAATTTTGTGTTAGTATAGCTTTGTGTTGGCTTCCTTGTACGGCTCTATGAGTCTACCTTCCTTCAATAGGATCCCACGTCCATGGTAATAGTGTGCTTCATAGAACGATAAAGACAACAAAATAATGGGTTTTCTTCTCACCTATTTCACGACACACTCCTCTACCGGTAACTCACTCTGCCGCTGGGGAGGAAGACTAACACTCTCCGGTCCTGGTAACTCGAGCACAATAGTTTGCCACTGGGGAAGGCGATCAGCTATTTCCACTTCCGGTAACTCGCTCTGCCGCTGGGCTGGGGGTGGCGGAGGAAATCTGATAGTCTCCTCTTCCATGGTTGTAAAGTCCAGAAAATCACCAGTTTTGAGGCCTGTTGCTGTATACAGTAGCACAGGCATACGAACCCGCTCCACTCCAAGGTGGCCAGATATGCAGATCTGGCTCTAGCTCAGTGACCTCTGAGAGGGCCAATAGATCGTCCGCTCATATCGAATGTTCCAGAAGAACCCTCCGGCTTCTGAATTCTATATTGTCCTCAGAAGACCAGGACCATTGTCGACCTCCCCTTCAATCCAGACAACCAGTCCTAGGCATAGCTGGGTCACATCCAGCCACACTTCTGTCATGACAAAGAACCTAAGTTCCCCTACCCATTCATCCAGGGTCTGCTCTCCGGCTTCGAGTTGTTCCCATCTGTGCTGTTCTGTAGTCAGGAGGTACTCACTCGGTCAATCTCCTCAAGGATCTTTCCATAGGTCAGTTCGGACCGCCATCCTCCATTCTAGTTCCCTGCCTGGACAAGGTCATCATTCACAGAACCTCCTGCAGCTGCTGCTGGAGTTTTACATCGAAGCAGGATACTGCATGGGGACGGCGCCATCCATACCCGACCGAAGATTTCCTCAATTACTAGCCATCCCACCACTGTCACCAAATGTGACAGAGATCCCTAACTTGACCAAGTACCTCTGCCCAGTTTGCTTCCTAGTCGCTTGCGAGACTCTGGGCGCTCAACCCCAGTCCAGAGGCTTCACTTGGTACCTCTGGTGCTTTTCCACCACACCAGGTTGCAGCTCTTCTTCTAAGCAGGTATGCACCTCTGCCTGCAATGTGATAGCTCTTATCTTTATAAGGACACTTGTGGCTCTCAGGCTTAGAATTACTCTGTTACTTGCAACTATGTTACTGGGTGTAACAGGCTCCAGTTGTACCTCCTAGTGCTTCGAGGGCTCCAAGCACTCCTCCAGTCACCATAAGCACTGCAGACCGAACCACTCTTCCTTCAGAGTGGAACAAGCTCTTAAAAGAGCTTAGTGATTATAGCCAAGGGAGTATACAGTGTATAGCAATCCCCAGTGTAAATGCACCTCTCCTCCCCCCCACACATGAGACAAGGCTCTATGTTGCGGGTAAAACAGGAACTCAGCAGTCTGAGGGTTTATTGGCACTTATATGTAACTTTTCCCACAAGGTTACCACCCACGTGGTCTTGTGGAACAACCAATCAAAACATTACAATACAGTCAAACACTATTTATTCCAGCAAAATCCTCCCCTCTGCCTGTGATAGAATTACTGTACACAATGGGCTAATGTCATTACCACAGGCAGGAATATACACAGTTTTACACAATATTCATAACTTTAAAAGGTATACATCACATTCACATAAAACTTACATAGTCTGAACCAGCATACGCAGTATACAAACATAGGTCAAAATCATACACATTGGTCCAGTGGTTCAAAAGTTAGATGGAAGTCCTTTTTGACCGACTGCAAGCATGGCGTTCCTGCCCCAAACCAGTTCCACAGAGTTAGGCTGTGCAGCCGGTCTATCTTCTCTATCCTGGAGATAATTGGCTTAACTGGGTGTGGTAAGCCAATTATCTCCAGGTACAGAAAATATCTCCATTCACAACAGCAGCAAAAATACACAATTCCTATTACACTGAACAGAAACCCCACATTCAACCTATCCCCAGATAGCTTGGAACTGAGCGCTCAATATATCCGAACAGTGCTCAGATCCCACGAACAGAATAAAATCGCCATGGGGTTAAAGTTTAGCACGGGCTGATGAGAGGTTGAGGAGGAAAGGTCTTAACATGCCCATATACTGTTTTTAAAGGGCCATACACCCCAGGGCCATAATCATGGGGAAGGAGGCTGGCAATCAGGCTTCTCCATACGCCAGGGGAACAGGGTAGTTTGTCACATGAAAAACCAGTGACAAAAGGCCTTTTGTCACACTGGGATCCCTAAAAATTCACACAGGACACAGTAACAAAAGGATGTAACATACATAGCTTTATTTCTAGGCACAACCAGCCTATATGCTGATTACATTTATATTGCTGTGACCACTTCAATAAAATACAAATAACTAAATCATATCAGGCAACAGGAACTTATAATAACATAATGACATATTTATAAAGCAATATGCAAATCTACCTGAATATGCATATTGACGAGCCTTGCTATTCAGGTAGTGCATATAGTTGTTGCTACCAACAGAGGGCGCTGTAAAGGATCCACAGCCAAATCCAGTTTGTTGGTAGCAGTCCTCAGCAGGACAGGACAGCACACAAAACATTTAACCACAACCATATTAGACACACCCTGCACCTTTATTGAGCGCAAGGTGACTAAAATGTATGTAAGGTGTTCTTCTGCTCCCAGTGATGGTGATTACCGTCACATTATTTTATCAAATTATTGCTGTGGAGCTCTGTGATACACTCAAACTGTAATACATTTGCATTCTTCTTCTTATGATATATTTAATCTTTCTTCTCATTGGGAGGATCGCCCTGTTAAAATACATCTATATTATAATTATTGTGTGGGTCAGTTACAAACAGCAATACGCATCGGACTTGCGATTTTTTCAGTTTTATTCTTACCGTTACTGATACTTAATGAAACAAAGGATGTTATAATATAATGGATGTTCCCCAGCAGATGGTAATTTCTGGACTACTGAAGGGAGAGATAGACTCTACATAGAGAACAGCCGGACAACCAGCATCGTGGTCCTTATCCACTATTCTATATAGCTCTAACCATAATGACGTCACTATTCTATATAGCTCTAACCATAATGACGTCACTATTCTATATAGCTGTGACCATAATGACGTCACTATTCTATATAGCTACGGCCATAATGACGTCACTATTCCATATAGCTCTAACCATAATGACGTCACTATTCTATATAGCTCTAACCATAATGACGTCACTATTCTATATAGCTATAACCATAATGATGTCACTATTCTATATAGCTCTAACCATAATGACGTCACTATTCCATATAGCTCTAACCATAATGACGTCACTATTCTATATAGCTATGACCATAATGACGTCACTATTCTATATAGCTACGGCCATAATGACGTCACTATTCCATATAGCTCTAACCATAATGACGTCACTATTCTATATAGCTACGGCCATAATGACGTCACTATTCTATATAGCTCTAACCATAATGACGTCACTATTCTATATAGCTATGACCATAATGATGTCACTATTCTATATAGCTCTAACCATAATGACGTCACTATTCTATATAGCTCTAACCATAATGACGTCACTATTCTATATAGCTATAACCATAATGACGTCACTATTCCATATAGCTCTAACCATAATGACGTCACTATTCTATATAGCTATGACCATAATGACGTCACTATTCTATATAGCTCTAACCATAATGACGTCACTATTCTATATAGCTCTAACCATAATGACGTCACTATTCTATATAGCTACGGCCATAATGACGTCACTATTCTATATAGCTATGACCATAATTACATCAGTCCTTTTAAATATGACTGGCTATATATGGACACTACCCCCAATCTCCCTATACAGCCCATTGTAGAGTCCTCATGATACAGAATAGCAAACAACCAGCTGTTCTTTTTAACACATTAGGCTTCCATACCTTAATATGTATATACATTGGAACATAGACTAAGTAATATTCTACACAAACACAATGCACCTCATTGTGACTTGTATTGCAGTGGAGCTCTGTGATCTCTCCATATAGACTGCATATCGCTGGGAGTTGTATTGCAGTGGAGCTCTGTGATCTCTCCATATAGACTGCATATCGCTGGGAGTTGTATTGCAGTGGAGCTCTGTGATCTCTCCATATAGACTGCATATCGCTGGGAGTTGTATTGCAGTGGAGCTCTGTGATCTCTCCATATAGACTGCATATCGCTGGGAGTTGTATTGCTGTGGAGCTCTGTGATCTCTCCATATAGACTGCATATCGCTGGGAGTTGTATTGCAGTGGAGCTCTGTGATATCTCCATATAGACTGCATATCGCTGGGAGTTGTATTGCAGTGGAGCTCTGTGATCTCTCCATATAGACTGCATATCGCTGGGAGTTGTATTGCAGTGGAGCTCTGTGATCTCTCCTTATAGACTGCATATCGCTGGGAGTTGTATTGCAGTGGAGCTCTGTGATATCGCCTTATAGACTGCATATTGCTGGGAGTTGTATTGCAGTGGAGCTCTGTGTACTCCAGTTGATCTGCTCTGGAATTTGAATAATTTGCAGTGTTTTTTTTTGTTTTGTGCCTATGTTTGGTGTGTACAAAGTGTCTAGAAACACACTGTCCAGCCAGGTGGGGGCACAGCCTCCCCTGTGAAAGTGCTCCCCGTACAGGCAGCTATAAGGGACTGTGCAAGTCATTGCGACTATATTGGATTAGCTATGGAAGATGCTTGGATTGTCCTTATAACCATTACGTGTCTTGTAGCCCCGTATAGAGCCAGTCGCTGGCCTCCAGGACAAGCACGCTCCGAACGGAAGCAGTTTGGATGGCACGTTATCTCAGCGTGCAGTTAAATAAGCTTATTTTAAGCCTTCTGATGAGAGTTCTGCAAAATGAGCAGAGAGACGAATGCGCGGTCTGATCCCAGGGGGAGCGCAGGCACTTCCCAATGTGTAATTACATACATTATTAACGACTGATTGCATCCAAATTAAAGCAGCATTTACCCAATATTTCCTCCCATCTACAGCTCTGGATAGAAAGAGATAGCAGTTCTTTTATTCATTCCAGACCCATTAAATTAAATTCCATTTAATTAGAATTTTACTAAAATACAGCAGTTTTGCTTTTATTATGTCTTTGGAAACTTGAAATTAAAATAGAATAGGATCTTAAAATGGTCTTTGAAGACGAACTGAACTGTCAGCGAATTCCGGCAAAATTAATTATTTCAGCTTGATAAACCTTTTCATCTACTTGACTCCTTTTGCAGAAAAGCCAATTAATAATGTCAAACATGCTTTGGCTGCGGCGAGCGGCGAGCCTAATAAGACTGTTTACTGTGGTGTGGCTCATGGTAAGGACGTTATGGAGAGATGCTGTAATCGTACCTCTCCTGTCAAGCGTCTCTCGTTATCAGAGCGCTGGGGGCAATCCTCACTTTGTCAGGAGCCGTTTCTGAAGAACTAACAACTGCCCGCAAAGTATACAGGACTGTCGAACAGTAGATGAGTCATTTAATTAGCAGCGAGGGGAGCAGAAACAAAATCCTTAATGGCGCATAACACCAACCCAGCTATTCCAGTCTACCGCTAAGCGATATGTTGGATATATGGTGCGTGGGTGGACACAGGAAGCGTTTGATATGTTTGAAATTATACTTGTGTGTGTGTGTGTGTATACTATATGTCTGCCTATATCTCGGCTTTGCTGGCAGAACCTCTACCTCATTGGTTATTTTATATCTAGAGTTTACTAGTTGTGAAACAACAACGACAGAGCATTGCACCCTGATACAGAACAACGACAGAGCATTGCACCCTGATACAGAACAACGACAGAGCATTGCATGCTGATACAGAACAATGACAGAGCATTGCACCCTGATACAGAACAACGACAGAGCATTGCACCCTGATACAGAACAACGACAGAGCAGTGCACCCTGATACAGAACAACGACAGAGCATTGCACCCTGATACAGAACAACGACAGAGTATTGCACCATGCTACAGAACAACAACAGAGCATTGCACCATGCTACAGAACAACAGAGTATTGCACAATCATGGAGCGAATATTGCACATTTACAGATCAATAAAAAGTGAAAATTCCTATATCCTCAGATAACGGTGCCATATTACAATTCTTTAGGCCACATGGCGGCAGACAGATCGAGTTATTGGCTACATGGCCCAAGATGGCTGCCTTGTGTTTATATTAACGTGTATTACTCACAGTGCCCCACCCAAAGCTTAGACTTAATAAAGATGAAATGAAGACAAATGATGGTTTTAAAGCAAGCTTGCATTACCCTTATAAAAGGGAGTATTATATGAATTGGCAGCAACGTTTCCAAATAAATCAGGACAATGGGAATGAAGCGTATTAATCTCTTACTTTACTACGTCTGACCTTTTAAAATAAAAATACTTCGTTTGCCAAACCTTCCTACATTATTAAGATGTGATCTATGGTAAAAGCATGAAGAATTATGGATTACAAAGGCTGTGATTACTGGTTAACGCTGGCCTTAAAAAACATTACAGCAACTTTTAATATGATTCTGCAATAAAATATGGACTTTCTATTCACTGCGCTCAATATATCATCTAAACACTTCAGCTTTCCGCGAGACTGGATCCAATAACTGACAGGACAGGGTTTTATGTAGAACCACCATCCTCTGGCCACGTTTCATGAGAACATAAAGCCAGATGACCATTGGATCCAGGGAACTAGAGAGCAGAAGGGTATACCGTAACCAGGGGCAGACAACGCAGAGTATACCGGTAACCAGGGGCAGACAACGCAGAGTATACCAGTAACCAGGGGCAGCCAGCACTGGGTATACTGGGAACCAGGGGCAGCCAGCACTGGGTATACCGGTAACCAGGGGCAGACAACGCAGAGTATACTGGGAACCAGGGGCAGACAACGCAGAGTATACTGGGAACCAGGGGCAGCCAGCACTGGGTATACCGGTAACCAGGGGCAGACAACGCAGAGTATACTGGGAACCAGGGGCAGACAACGCAGAGTATACCGGTAACCAGGGGCAGACAACGCAGAGTATACCAGTAACCAGGGGCAGCCAGCACTGGGTATACTGGGAACCAGGGGCAGCCAGCACTGGGTATACAGGTAACCAGGGTCAGACAACACAGAGTATACCGGTAACCAGGGGCAGACAGTGCTGGGTATACCGGTAACCAGGGGCAGACAACGCAGAGTATACCGGGAACCAGGGGCAGACAACGCAGAGTATACCAGTAACCAGGGGCAGACAACGCAGAGTTTACCGGTAACCAGGGGCAGACAACGCAGAGTATATCGGTAACCAGGGGCAGACAGTGCTGGGTATACCGGTAACCAGGGGCAGACAACGCAGAGTATACCGGTAACCAGGGGCAAACAACGCAGAGTATACCGTAACCAGGGGCAGACAACGCAGAGTATACCAGTAACCAGGGGCAGACAACGCAGAGTATACCAGTAACCAGGGGCAGCCAGCATTGGGTATACTGGGACCAATAGGGGCAGCTAGCACTGCATACTGTAAATTTAGGCAGAGCAATGAGTATAATAAACCAGGGGCAGACAACGAGTATACTGGGGAACTGTGGGGCAGCCTGCACTGGGTATACTGCACCAGGCAGACAACGCAGAGTATACCGGTAACCAGGGGCAGACAACGCAGAGTATACCAGTAACCAGGGGCAGCCAGCACTGGGTATACTGGGAACCAGGGGCAGCCAGCACTGGGTATACCGGTAACCAGGGGCAGACAGTGCTGGGTATACCGGTAACCAGGGGCAGACAGTGCTGGGTATACCGGTAACCAGGGGCAGACAACGCAGAGTATACCGGGAACCAGGGGCAGACAACGCAGAGTATACCAGTAACCAGGGGCAGACAACGCAGAGTATACCGGTAACCAGGGGCAGACAACGCAGAGTATACCGGTAACCAGGGGCAGACAGGGCTGGGTATACCGGTAACCAGGGGCAGACAACGCAGAGTATACCGGGAACCAGGGGCAGACAACGAGGGTATAGCCTGCAACTAGGGCAGATAACGCAGGAGTATACCGGGAACCAGGGGCAGACAACGAGTATACTGCAAATCAGGGCAAATAACGAGTATACCGCGGTACCTAGGCAGATAAATCTAGAGTATGGGCTCGGTAAACCAGGGGTGCAACAACGAGTATACCGTAACCAGGGGCAGACAACGCAGAGTATACCAGTAACCAGGGGCAGACAACGCAGAGTATACCAGTAACCAGGGGCAGCCAGCATTGGGTATACTGGGAACCAGGGGCAGCCAGCACTGGGTATACCGGTAACCAGGGGCAGACAACGCAGAGTATACTGGGAACCAGGGGCAGACAACGCAGAGTATACTGGGAACCAGGGGCAGCCCGCACTGGGTATACCGGTAACCAGGGGCAGACAACGCAGAGTATACTGGGAACCAGGGGCAGACAACGCAGAGTATACCGGTAACCAGGGGCAGACAACGCAGAGTATACCAGTAACCAGGGGCAGCCAGCACTGGGTATACTGGGAACCAGGGGCAGCCAGCACTGGGTATACCGGTAACCAGGGGCAGACAACACAGAGTATACCGGTAACCAGGGGCAGACAGTGCTGGGTATACTGGGAACCAGGGGAAGACAGCGCTGGGTATACTGGGAACCAGGAACAGACAGCGCTGGGTATACTGGGAACCAGGGGCAGACAACGCAGAGTATACTGGGAACCAGGGACAGCCAGCATTGGTATACCGGTAACCAGGGGCAGACAACGCAGAGTATACTGGGAACCAGGGGCAGCCAGCACTGGGTATACTGGGAACCAGGGGCAGCCAGCACTGGGTATACTGGGAACCAGGGGCAGCCAGCACTGGGTATACTGGGAACCAGGGGCAGCCAGCAAAATACTGGGAACCAGGGGCAGACAACGCAGAGTATACTGGGAACCATGGGCAGCCAGCGCTGGGTATTATTATTATATTATTTATATAGCGCCAACAAATTCCGTAGCACTGTACAATGGATGGACTAACAGACACATAATTGAGATCAGACCACTGACGTACAGGAACAGAGGGGATTGAGGACCCTGCTCGATGAGCTTACATGCTAGAGGGAGTGGGGTATAGTGACACAAAGGGTTAAAGTAGGGGAATTAAATAGTTTGTTACAGAAGGGTTTATTGAGTGCTTGGTATGTCATTTTTGACAGTTGCAGGAAAGGAGTCATGGGTGGGGGATGAGAAACCTGCTAACAGTTTAATTGATACGCTTTAATGAAGAAGTTAGTTTTCAAAGATTTTTTGAAGGAGTGGAGTCTGGGTGAAAGTCTGATTGAGGAGGGAAGGGAGTTCCACAGAATAGGTGCAGCCCTGGAGAAGTCTTGAAGGCGAGCATCAGAGGTGGGGATCCGGGCAGAGGATGGGCAGGGGATAGGCGTAGGTCTTGGGCTGAGCGCAGGGGTCTCGACGGGACATACTTGTGTATGAGGGAGGATAGGTATGTTGGAGCAGCATTATGTAGGGATTTGTAAGCAAGCACCAGAATTTTGAAATGGGCCCTATATCTAACTGGAAGCCAATGCAGGGACTGACAGAGTGTGGTGGCGTGGGAGGTGCGACCGGACAGGAGAATAAGCCTCGCAGCCGTATTTATTATAGATTGCAGCGGTGCAAGCTGGGAACATGTAAGACCGGTGAGAAGGAGATTGCAAGAGTCAAGACGAGAGAGAACAACAGCATGAACCAGTACCTTAGCCGCGTCCGGCGTTAGATATGGGCAGATGCGCGCTATGTTCTTGAGTTGGAAGCGACAGGATTTGGCTATCGATTGGACATGGGGAGTAAAAGAGAGATCAGAATCAAAAAGAACCCCTAGGCAGCGAGCCTGCGAGGTAGAGGTGATAGTAGCGCCGTTGACTTGGATGGCGACAGACACAGGAGTAGCAGCACTTGAGGGAAGAAAAACTAGAAGTTCTGTTTTGGACAGGTTGAGTTTAAGGAAGTGAGCAGCCATCCAGTTGGAAATAGCAGAGAGGCAGTCAGAGACACGAGTCAAGGTGGGTGGAGAGAGATCAGGGGAGGACAGGTAGATTTGCGTGTCATCTGCATATAAATGGTATTGGACGCCAAAGGAGCTGATGAGTTTACCAAGGGAGGCAGTATAGATAGAGAACAGTAGGGGACCAAGGACAGAACCTTGGGGGACGCCGACAGAGAGTGGTTGGGGGGAAGAGACAGAGTCAGAGAAAAACACACTGAAGGAGTGCTGGGAGAGGTAGGAGGAGCACCAGGAGAGAGCAGTATCCTGTAGACCAAAGTTACGGAGAATGTGAAGAAGCTGTTGATGATCAACAGTGTCAAAGGTGGCAGAAAGATCAAGGAGGATTAGGATAGAGTATTGGCCGCGAGATTTAGCAGCAATTAAAATCGTTGGATACTTTGGTAACAGCAGTTTCGACAGAGTGACCAGCGCGGAATCCAGACTGAAGGGGGTCTAGCAGAGAGTTGGATTCGAGAAAGTCTGTCAATCTGGCGTAAACAACTCTCTCGAGGATCTTGGAGGCAAATGGCAGTAGCGAGATAGGGCGGTAGTTGGATGAGGAGTTGGGCTTTTTCAGAATTGGGGTTATGGTTGCATGTTTGAAGGGTGAGGGAAATGTGCCAGAGGAAAGGGAGAGATTGAAAATGTTAGCGAGAGGAAGAGCAAGAGAGGGAGACAAAGTGCAGATGAGATGCGAGGGAATAGGATCGAGGAAGCAGGTGGTGGGGCGGGAGGACTGGAGCAGAGCAGAAACCTCTTCCAATGTAGCGGGTGCGTATGAACATAGAACAGCAGAGGAAGTGAAGTTAGGGGAAGTATTGTAAGGGGAAGAAGAAAGATGAGAGATCTCTTCTCTGATTGTAGAGATCTTGTCAGTGAAGTGAGTTGCAAAGTCTGAGGCGGTCAAGTTAGTAGGTGGAGGAGGAACAGCAGGGCGAAGAAGAGAGTTAAATGTGTGAAATAGTCGTTTGGGTTCACGGGAGAGTGTGGTTATGAGGGTATTAAAGTAATTAACTTTTGCAGAGGAAAGAGCCATGCTGTAGGAGCGCAGCATAAATTTATAGTGGACAAAGTCAGATGCAAAGTGAGACTTTCTCCAGCAGCGTTCAGCAGTTCTGGAACATTTTTGGAGGTAACGGGTCAGCTTGGTGTGCCAGGGTTGTAGTTGGGGGCACTTGCTGCGTTTAACTGTAGGGTATACTGGGAAACAGGGGCAGCCAGCGCTGGGTATACTGGGAACCAAGGGCAGCCAGTGCTGGGTATACTGGGAACCAGGGGTAGACAGCGCAGGGTACACTGGGAACCAGGTGTAGACAGCGCAGGGTATACTGGGAACCAGGGGCAGACAGCGCAGGGTATACTGGAAACCAGGGGCAGACAGCGCAGGGTATACTGGAAACCATGGGTAGACAGTGCAGGGTATACTGGGAACCAGGGGCAGACAGCACAGGGTATACTGGGAACCAGGGGCAGACAGCACAGGGTATACTGGGAATCATGGGTAGACAGTGCAGGGTATACTGGGAACCATGGGCAGAAAGCACAGGGAAGCAGAGAGTTGGGGTGCACTGGGAAGCAGAGAGTTGGGGTGCACTGGGAAGCAAAGAATGATGAGTATGTTTTGAATGTAAATATTGGTGTCCGGGTGTTCAGAGAATTCTTCACAATTTGCAGCAATTTATATCTTATTTCTATGTCCTGTTAAGAGGTCGCAGGGTCCCCAGGTCGTTGCTCCAATTCCAAGTTAGAGTGAAGATGATTAATTTCGCTCTTACTCTTTCTCTTACTTATGCTTTTTGAATCTTATAACTGTGTCTGCGGTTTTAGCTTCAAGATTCATTATGGTATCAGGTTTTTTAATGAAAACAATAAAGATCTAATATTTCATTTAACTCTGTAATCACACAGAGCTTGCCTCTCCCCATGGCATCAAGTCCCATTATACAGACTACATGGCTGAAGACGGCATGTACCATGGACACGTAAGCAAATAATCGATTAATAAGAATAACCCATCTCTAAATATTTCTTTACTTTCTTAGCCTTTACTGCTCCCACTGAAAGGCTATTCCAGGTATCTACTACCCTTTCTATATCACTGTTACTGTTCCCACTGGAAGGCTATTCCAGGTATCTACTACCCTTTCTATATCACTGTTACTGCTCCCACTGGAAGGCTATTCCAGGTATCTACTACCCTTTCTATATCACTGTTACTGCTCCCACTGGAAGGCTATTCCAGGTATCTACTACCCTTTCTATATCACTGTTACTGCTCCCACTGGAAGGCTATTCCAGGTATCTACTACCCTTTCTATATCACTGTTACTGCTCCCACTGGAAGGCTATTCCAGGTATCTACTACCCTTTCTATATCACTGTTACTCCCACTGGAATGCTATTCCAGTATCTACTACCCTTTCTATATCACTGTTACTGCTCCCACTGGAAGGCTATTCCAGGTATCTACTACCCTTTCTATATCACTGTTACTGCTCCCACTGGAAGGCTATTCCAGGTATCTACTACCCTTTCTATATCACTGTTACTGTTCCCACTGGAAGGCTATTCCAGGTATCTACTACCCTTTCTATATCACTGTTACTGCTCCCAATGGAAGGCTATTCCAGGTATCTACTACCTTTCTATATCACCTTTACTGCTCCCACTGAAAGGCTATTCCAGGTATCTACTACCCTTTCTATATCACTGTTACTGCTCCCACTGGAAGGCTATTCCAGGTATCTACTACCCTTTCTATATCACTGTTACTGCTCCCACTGGAAGGCTATTCCAGGTATCTACTACCCTTTCTATATCACTGTTACTGCTCCTACTGGAAGGCTATTCCAGGTATCTACTACCCTTTATATATCACTGTTACCGCTCCCACTGGAAGGCTATTCCAGGTATCTACTACCCTTTCTATATCGCTGTTACTGCTCCCACTGAAAGGCTATTCCAGGTATCTACTACCCTTTCTATATCACTGTTACTGCTCCCACTGGAAGGCTATTCCTGGTATCTACTACCCTTTCTATATCACTGTTACTGCTCCCACTGAAAGGCTATTCCAGGTATCTACTACCCTTTCTATATCACTGTTACTGCTCCCACTGGATGGCTATTCCAGGTATCTACTACCCTTTCTATATTACTGTTACTGCTTCCATTGGAAGGCTATTCCAGGTATCTACTACCCTTTCTATATTACTGTTACTGCTTCCATTGGAAGGCTATTCCAGGTTGTAGCGGAGCCATAGTCCTAGCAGGGACTCTCCTCCGCTGGGTACTCCAAGATTAGCTCAAGAACAAATAAAATACTCCAATGTATCAGCCAGATGTAGTAAAATATTCCAAGAATCTCCCACCTCATCCCCAGCAACTGGACGACACTCAGCTTTGGGCGTATAACTGGTTTTAATGGAGCCATGCAAGGGGTTTCCTGATACATATTCCAGGGGCATTCCCCACTGGACCAGGCCCTGGGGAGATAGCGCAGCTAAGAGGACAAGGGCACATGTATGCGTGTGGGGATAGATGTGTGTGATTGGTTGTGTATGTATGTGTGGCTGGGATTATGTGGTGTGTGAGTTAGTGGGGATTGGTTTTACCTCAGTGCCACTTGGGATTCGGGCCAGCAAACA